CAGCAGGGCAGAGAAACAGCCTAAAGAGGAAGGAGGGGAGGCTGAAGGAACAAGATTTTTAGTTCTTTGCCATCACCTCGTGCTGGGGCTGTGATTCACCCCTTAGTGACTCACTGGTCAGTGTGGACTCCATTAACTTTGACCTGAGGCTTTGGACTAAGGCCTAGGGCTGCTATTTCTTTTTTTTTTTTCTTGAAAGCGCAGTATTACTAAAAGCATTGGCTGAATTTATAAATAAGTGTTATATGGCAGGTTAATATTTAAATCAGCGTGCTGTTTGATGGTATTAGCGTATTGAACAGAAGAACTTCCATGCAGCCCCTTCACGTGAAGAGTAATTACTCAGATTGTTACTTGCAGGCAAGGCTAATAACTGCTGTATTTGTATAGAACTTCTCAAAGCGAAAATAGGAGGGCTCTTTGCCAATTAGATGGTGATAATTAAAGAAACCAAACCCTTACCCGCTTGGTTTTAAGTGTCACAAACACAACAATGAAATAAAAAAGGAGCTCCTGGCAAGCCAGGCTAGAGCACGGCCCAGGTCAGTGAAGCTCAGCCCTTTGCCAGAGATGAGATGCTGGGCTGAGTATGGTCATTGAAAAATGGGGACAGGAGCCAACCAGTGCTGCCACATTTCTCAAACGACAGCCCCAGATCCTGAAAACCAGGCGAGCGCATCCATTCAGAAGAGAAGGCTGCCGTGGGCGCAGGGCGGTGGTGTACAGCCCCAGCAGTGGGTTCCGGCCAGCCAGGGTGGTTGGAGAGCTCTCATCCCACGGGCGAGCAGCGCCCAAAGCTACCTACTCTGCTAACGAATACAGCCAGTCGTCGGGCTGAAACACTTAGCAGCTGTGCCGTAACTTTTTGCACTGAGGCAGTGTGGGTTTTCTTCTTGGGGAGAAGGTTATGCCTTCAGTACCTTTTTTTTGATTGCTTTTGGGTTTTGTGATTTAAACTGAAACCGAGCATCAGTTCTGCTATTTTTGTGCTGTAGTCTGTTGCAGCACAGGGAGGAAAACAGCTCTGTTAATTCACAGCCTTGTGCATTACACACACCAGAAAGAATAAATCTTTTGAGTCACAGTTTTAATGGTGCCTTGTAAATGAATAATTCAGACGTGAGCCCTAAAATCCAGATCCTGCAGTTTTATCCAGAACATATTGCAAATGCTCTGAGCATAGGAAGCAGTTTTGACTCTGCTGCAGAAGGAGACAGTGAGCAGCTGGTAAACTACTGGCCCTTAATGAAGCTATACCATATTGCAATATCTGCAATTACTGCAGAACTTAATTAGTTCATTTTACTCTGCCAATCTGGAGAGACCAAACAGTGTCTTGGGCAGCCACTGTAATTATTTCAGATTCTTCACTGTTGGCCGTTAAAGCTGAGTTTGGTCTCTCCTAGCAAGGTATATTAAAGATGTCTGAGATTTGGGAATGCCTGCTCTGGGTTACATGCAGGTATTTCATGTATCTGTCTGATTTTAGGGGAAAAGTAATTTTTTTGGTAACTGGTAGAACTAGTTCATGCCATATGTAAACATGAGCACTAGTGCTGTAGAATTTTGAACAAAGAAATGAGAAGACTGCATTGGCTTGTTCAGATGTGGACGTGGCCTAATGCTTTGTGCCATAACTGCTGTACAGAAGGATGGTTCTGGAAGGCAGCGCCACTTGGCATTCGGGTTACTTTGCCTTTCTTCCTGAAAATAGTCTTTAGAGGTGCAGGGGTGTTTCAATTTGATATGTTGGCAAAATAAAGGTATCTGCCTTGGGTGTAGAGCTGCTAACTGAATCAGCAAAGTTCTGTTTAAATGAATTGTAGTGTCTGGTTGTTATTTGTGGCGTGCTGGCCTGATGACAGTGCCCAGCACTGAACGCTGGTTTTGTGTGCTGCCGCTGAAGGGTAGTTTTAAGGAAATGAAACATGCCATAAAATCAGAATTCCCAGGCAGCTACTTGAAGCTGTTGGCATTTACCCATCCAACAAATGTGGCTACCAAGTACTGAAATCCTGTACCAGCTAACATCCACACTGATGATTTTTGACTCTTAGATTTTCTTCACAGCAGAAATACTTCAAACTTCAGCCCTTAAAAATATTGAATATTTGAACAGTAAAAAAACCCCAAACAATCCACAACTCCCCTGCCCCCCAAGAAAAAGCCCTCTTATGCAATAAATTAAAAGAAACATAGCCAAATCAAATAATGTTCACTGGGTGTTTTTCCCTAAACAGCAGAGTTTAATCTGTCTTCTGAAATACTACAGGGGTAAGGGGGAGCTGCTTTCTCACAAATTCAGGTTACCATTAGCTGTCTGGTAACGACCAACTGTCATGAAGGCAGAGTTTAAGACTTTCTTAATGTGATATAATTCATTCTATAGCTTCATGTTTTCTGTGAGTGACTTAGAGGAGAAATGTATTCTTCTTTCCTGGCTGGTACATGTGTTACTTTACCACTTGTGAGAAACTGCGGAGTCCTTGTGAGCCTGTGCGCAGCAACCAAACCATCAGTTCGCAAGTTTCAGAAAGGTCTCACAGAGCCACGTTTCATTTCAATAACTGTAGGATTAAGAGGAGAAGCCTCAGTGACACAAGTGTCCTGTTGGATACAGACTCTGAGAGCTTTGCTGTTGTTCTAGACCGGCTTTGCTGGGGAGGATGCTTGCTTAAAATAAGCATTTCTGTTGCAGGACATGAACTTGATTGACATCCTTTGGAGGCAAGATATAGACCTTGGGGCAGGGCGCGAAGTTTTTGATCTTAGTCAACGCCAGAAGGAGTATGAACTCGAGAAACAGAAGAAGCTCGAAAAGGAAAGACAAGAGCAGCTCCAGAAAGAGCAGGAGAAAGCCTTGCTGGCTCAGCTGGAGTTAGACGAAGAGACGGGCGAATTTGTTCCAGTGCAGCCAGCTCAGCCCGCTCAGTCAGAAAATACCGAGCCGCCAGTCGGCTTTTCACAGGTAAACTCTCCATCTGTGCTTCTCAGCGCGACTAAACCTTTTTCCATTCGCAGGAAGATGTGATGTTGGTGGTTACCTAAAATGAATTTGCATTCGTTGCTGTAATGGAAGACTCTTCAGTTATTCAAAGGCGCAGTAACATTTTTTTCATAACTTTCCTATTTAGACCACACAGACTTCAAAACCAGAAGCGGAGGCCCTGTCCTTTGATGACTGCATGCAGCTCTTGGCAGAAGCATTCCCATTTATAGACGACAATGAGGTAAAAACGCTCAGTCCAGCACTTTCACGGGCTGTCTTCCAGGGGATCAGCCTTGTGGCTTCTCTTACTAAGATTTGTCTTCACCATAAAATTAGCCAACTCCCGCTGGAATAAAGCAGTGCAGTAGGCTTAAGCTGGGGCCGCATCCGGAGGGAGCGGCATGGTACTGTAGCGTTCCTGCTGCTTACAGAGCGCCACGGCCAGGACTGGCTGTGTAACGCCAGCTGACGGCAGCCCTCCAGTCACTGCCAGCGTGTTTGTCACGGGGAGCTTAGTGCAGCTCTCCGGGGTTAGTGCCTCCGAGTTGCTTTATTTCCAGGTGCTCATCCAGGCTGGGTGATGTGCAAAGACAAGCCCTTCACCGCCCCTTTCTAGGGGGTTTTTACTATTCCTTTCCTTAATACGAAATCTCCTTTCATGGGGAATATTTATATATTATCCCGTTACTTACAAAAATTGCTTTTGGGTAGAAATACCTGTCTGTTTGCTCTGTAGACAGGGTAGAACATCAAAAACCAGATTTTTGCTTTGGAAAATTCAAAGTTGGGTTTTGGGGGTTTTTTAATGTGGTGTTTTTGTTGTTGTTGTTTTGTTGGGGTTTTTAGTATTTTTTTTTTTTTAACTACTCTAGGCTTCTTCCGCTGCATTTCAGTCACTGGTTCCCACTCAGATCGACAGCAACCCGGTCTTCATTTCATCTGATCAGTCTCAGGCACCTGAATCACCTGGTCTAGTTCCAGTTACTGATGCGGAGAATATGCAGAACATAGAGCAAGTTTGGGAGGAATTACTGTCCCTTCCGGAGCTACAGGTAAAAGGTTTAGTATGATTAGCACCTGAAAAAAACAATGGCATGGTATTTTGGGAGAGTGTGATATTTCAGCAAATGCAGTACAGTAGCATCTGAACAGATGGTGATTATGACTGTCATGTTGATTTCTACACCTGTAGGACATCTATAACTCAATATAAGCTTCAGGTTTTTTAAAAACAATATAGGGAAAAACATGCAGGAGGAAGGAAATCAGTTGTTCGTCAGAAGGCCTTGATAAAACACAACTTGTCTTCCCAATCAGAACTTCCCCACGTGTAGCAACTCACTGTCTGTGTCTGTATGCAGCTTGGTGCAGCATGATCATGGTTGAGATGTCAGCTGCTTAAAAGTGGACACTTCAGGGTTACGGATCTACAGCAGGAACTGCTTCCGCCAGCATCACTGTAAATGGTTTTGGCTTGCTGTGTCTAACTAGGCTGTGTAAGTCGCTCAGGGTTACTTTTACACTGAACTCTTATCTGAGGACAAGGTTTTGTACAGGTAACAACATAGATGGAGATGCGTGGAGGAGTCAGGCACAGCGACACAACTACTCCTCACGTGTGCTCAGAAAGAACTAAATCTGAATGAAATATTCCAAAGGAACAAAAAAATCACTTTTCTGTAGTACTAAGCTGCGCGTTACAGAGGACATCTAGGGTTTGTTTTTTTCCTCTCCTATCCTTATGTTTATATTTACCTTTTCATTAGGTTTGACTATAAAATTGGGTAGATTTATTTTCAAGTGTATTGTTCTGCTTCAGCGTGATTCTGCTCTGCTTCATGCTTTTAACTCGAGATGACAGCTTGGCGGAACGCCTCTAAAGCCAAACCCTATTAAAAAAACCAGTTTTTGCAGGAGCTGAATTTTTCCTGCCACCCTACTTTTTCCCTTTGTCCTTTTATATTTTTCAAAATTATCCTGGTTTCCTAATCTTTACTGCTGTGGTGGGCTTGAAAGCCCCACATAATAACAAGGGCAGTTGGCTGTGAAGAGGCAGCAGTGATGCTGAAAACGCATTTAGAAACCACAATTATGAATCGCAGTAATTCTGAATAGTAATGGAGTAATCTTCTGAAAGAGCGTGCTGGTTACGTCGAGGGCATCGCCTCTCACAAACTACATGTGAAGAGAACAGAAGGAGCACGCCAGTTCAAAACCTTAGCTTCAGCCTTGACCGATCTCCAGTTAAATACTCAGTGTGGGGTCCCTTCTTAAGAGAAACACAATCATTTGGGTAATTGCCTAATTCTCTGGGGGCAGCAGGCATGCTCACTTCAGGCTCAGTTAAGAAACTGCCACCACGTGGGAAGGAACGCTGGCCGTGCGGCCAGTGAAAGCCCATCAGTGTGGTGTCTGCCAGCCTGACTAGAAGTAGGTGGGGTGGGTTAATGGGTGCAAGGCTTCACATTAGCGGGAACTGCATTTCTCTGCATTGAACAGCTGCTTCATTTAGTGAGTCTAAAACTGAAGGAAAAGAAACATCACATCTCAGGAAATTGAGTGCCAAGGTAGTCGCGGGGTCGTAATGCTCGCCGTGTCTCATCAGTCGTCCTGCACGTGCTGTGTTCGTGCCATTCCTAGCAGGGCTGCTCGGGGACATTCAGACCTGGCGGCTCCAGGACCCCCACTGGCCGTTTACCACAATGGGAGGCTCCGTGCGGCACGGGGTGCATTGGAGTGGCTCTCTTTGGCATCCTGCTGTGAGTTTGAGAGATTCCGCTCTCCTAAGGGAAATAGCTCTGTCCAGGACAAGCCGCTGCATGCTCTTGGACCTAGTGAATCCTTCTGGCCAACCTCTCCTGGTTGGCCAGGTCACAGCAGTGCTGCAGCAGCCATCAGCACGCGCATAACGCGGGCAAAACGTGCAGCCTTGGTGGGTTGCGGGGAACGGTTTTATCCTCGGTTGGTGATGAGTTGCTCAACTTCTCTCTTATGTTTCCCACCTAGTGTCTTAACATTGAAAACGACAACATGGCTGAGGTGAGCACAATGCCGAGCCCCGAAACCAAGCCAGCGGAGACGCGCGACAGCCTCGATTACTACGGCTCATTACCCGTCACCAGAAAGTATGTTAACTATGGCCCGGACTTCCTGGAGAGCATTGAGGGCCCCTTTCCCAGCATCTTGTCACCAGAAGACACCAGCCCGCTGAACGTGAACTCTTTAAATGACACGTCCCCTTCAAACTCGGATTTCTGTGAGGATTTCTACACCACCTTTATAGACACAAAGGGGAATGGTGGCGCAGCACCGACCAACGCCATCAGTCAGTCGCTCGCAGAAATTCTCAGCGAGCCTATTGATCTTTCTGACTTCTCGCTGTGTAAAGCTTTTAACGGCAACCACTCCGGAGCTGCACCGGAATGGAATGACTCGGACTCTGGGATCTCACTGAATGCAAATTCTGGTGTGGCATCGCCAGAACACTCTGCGGAATCATCTGCCTACGGAGATAAGACTTTTGGGTGTAGCGACTCGGAAATGGAAGACATGGAGAGCGCCCCGGGAAGCGTGCCGCAGAGCAGCGCTAGCGCATCCTCACTGCAATTCCAGGATCAGGTGTTCTCTTCCGCGGGGCCAAGCTCTCACACACCTAGTTTGCAGTCTCCGACCACACCAAAGACAGACCCCCCCGCCAGCCCAGGGCACCCCGAAGCTCCCTTCACCAAGGATAAAGCCTCAAGCAGCCTTGACGCTCACCTCACGCGAGATGAGCAAAGAGCAAAAGCTCTGCAGATCCCTTTTCCTGTGGAAAAAATCATCAACCTGCCCATTAATGACTTCAATGAAATGATGTCTGAGGAGCAGTTCAGTGAGGCCCAGCTTGCGCTGATCCGAGACATACGCAGGAGAGGCAAGAACAAAGTGGCCGCTCAGAACTGCCGTAAGAGAAAACTGGAAAACATAGTGGAACTGGAGCAGGACTTGAGCAACCTGAAAGGTGAGAAAGAGAAATTGCTCAAGGAGAAGGGAGAGCACGATAAAAGCCTCCGTCAAATGAAAAAGCAACTCGCCACCCTGTACCTTGAGGTCTTCAGCATGCTGTGTGATGAGGAGGGGAAGTCTTACTCTCCCAGTGAATACTCACTGCAGCAAACCAGAGATGGCAACATCTTTCTTGTTCCTAAAAGCCGGAAGTCAGAGACTAAACCCTGAAGGGCAGCACAGCTGGCTACTGTCCCCTGAGTTACTAGTTTTGTATCACTATGCCGATAGTTTTTTACTGTGAGGTGGGAATTAGGTAATACTTTTTTTGCAAGTAACTCTATGCAATGATAATTTTCAAGTTAATTATCAGTTTACAGAAGATGGAAGTTAAAAACCAGTAGCACAGTGCGGAGGGATATACGGAAGATTCGTACTCTCACTTTTGTAACGGACGTGTCCTTCTTGTAGCACCACTTGGGCTAGTTTCCATATATGTGTAAATATTTAAAGATACCATATTTATATACTGTTCTATCTCTTGTTATATTCACAGATTTGATATATATATATATATAAATGATTTTAGCTTTCTAAATAGAATTTCAGGCCAGACAAACAGTGGCTTATGATACTTTTTTATAAACACGCAATAATGTTTGTTTCCCTTTTTTCTTACACATTTATACTTGCTTTAATTTAATATATGACTGTAATCTAATATAAAAGTTGATACTTTGTGTTTGATTTTGATTTATCAGTTCATTAAATTTTTTTTAACTCTACTCACGCACGTTCATTTCCCCGAAGGAGGGAAAATCCTCACGCGTTTCCCCAGGCTAAGTGTTCCTGTACCAAACACACTTGCTAGCTGGAGGCAGGTGGTGCGGCCCCACCAGCGCTAACGCTTCATTCTGCAGGACTGCAGCTGGGAAGGATTCTCTGCCTGTCAAGTGTGTGCTGTTGACACGGTTTCTGTTTCGCTCTTTGAACGCTACTTAACTTCGGGATGAGCTCTTCCTGCCAAAGGCTCGTCAAGCCTGTGATGACGGTCTCTGCGTTACACGTTCTTCCAACGGAGAATTCCGAATGCTGCTGAGAGGTGGTGCTAGGAACGCAGCGCGGGCCTGGCTGCCAGCAGTGAGCATCGCCCGTTGCTGCCACGGCTTCAGAGCTGCGGGAAAGAGGACCTGTCGGCCAGCCGCCTGCACACACGTTGCTGAGAAGCGCGGGGCAGTTTGAGTTACGGCTTGTAAGAATAAAGATGGGCCAAGTAAGCAGCATGGCTCTGCTCTCTCTCCGAACGGACTCACTGTACTTGAGCAGTGGATTTTTTGAATACAGAAAGTGCAGAATTTGAAAATACACACGTTGATCTGAATGTTAAAAACTATCATCTTCCTTCAGCTTCCCTATGAAACTTCCAACTTCAGCAGTGGCAGAAAACACCACCTCAGATGAGGCGTGCCTTTGTCATCTGAGGCATGTTCTGTCTGCTGCCGTGTTCACGCATAACTTAATTTAGTGTCACAAACACCAAGTGGTTTTGCAAGACCTTATAGTACATTTTTTAAAAAGAAGGACCTGGAGAGCCTGAAAGAGCACAGCAGGACCCACAAAGCTCGTTCAACAAAGTTCACAGAATCACAGAATGGTTTGGGTTGGAAGGGACCTTAAAGACCATCTAGTTCCAACCCCCCTGCCATGGGCAGGGACACCTTGCACTAGACCAGGTTGCTCAAAGTCCCATCCAAAGTTGTAGGGGGAAAGGCTGCCCCTTCGCTCCCTACTCAGAGCTAGATAATGCTAATTACAAGGATATGGCAGTTGGGGAATTTGGCCTTGATGTTTGTACTTCCCAAACTCCTTAGCTGTGCCGGAGTTGTGTATCCAGCAGAAAGCATCTTGGCTGGCGACAGGGCACGAATGCCCAAAGAATGATTTCAGACTGTCGGAGTGCTTGTGCTGTGTCACTTCTTACGGACCTCCTGAGTATCCTCCATGAAAAGAGGAAGGGCAGGGGCCTGACACAGCCGCCCCCCTCACGGGATGCTACGGAAGGGCTCCTGTTTTCCACTGTTCTGTGCCACTGGCTGCTTTTGTACTGTTCCAGTGGCCCCGAGCCCTCTCCCCTCAATGGCAGTAGCTGCTGTTAAACAGGTCCCAGCTCTGCCTCTCCCTGTACAGGATTTCAGATGCTGTGTCACTGTCCCCTCGGTCCCAGCAGCACCAGTGTAACCTCACAAGCAGCTCCTGGGTTTACTACCCCAAATAATCGTATCCTTCCAATCTCTTTCACCTTGTCAGTCCCCTCGTTGTTAACTCAGTTACTGACTCTGAAGAGCAGAGGCCTCTCGGGCACCTGGTGCGCGCACACACCTCTCCCGCCACCGCAGCACAGCCGGAGCTGAGCAGGGCAGCAACAGCTTCCCGGAGCGGGCAGTGTAAGGCCAGGGACTGAGGCCCTACTGACCCCATCCTCTTCAAAAAGCCGGCGCGATGGCAACTGCCGCAGTGAGGCTTTGGTCCCCAGCCCTGCCCACCCTCAGGGAGGAGGAACGGCTGCGCGTCGCCTGCCCTGTCCTTGCTGTGTGTCCGAGTCCTGCCCCGCGCAGCGGTTGTACCTGCAGCAGCAGGCGCCGCACAGTCATGACAGACGCTGTGGGCTCGCATCCCCAGCCCCCCCGGAGGTGCCAGGAACCTGCCCCTTCCAGCGAGCGGTAATGCCCCTGGGGTTTGCCAAGAGACGGGGAACCGTGGGTGACCCAGCTCGCCGCAGAGGCTGCTCACCTCGGTGGTGCTGAGCTCCCCCCGAGA